TATTAGTTTTCTTTATTTGCCATGTAATGCGAGTGGGAAGACTATGGGCAAGAGTTAGCAACAGGCGGACCCGTGGTGGACCGTGTTGAAGCGAGAAAAAATGGGTTTTTTGTATAAAGAATAGTAATGATATGGTAGTCAGGTCAGTGTGCCAACCGACGATACGTTGTTTTTTGGATGATACGAGATTTGGAAATGTATCTGCTGCGCAGACGAGCCTCCCTCACAGCCTTCGTCGGCTGACGAGTTTCGGGAAGGGGCAAATGACTTTAGAGCGCAGAGTCAGGTAAGCAATGTTGTGCGTAAGAGATTAGCTCTGCTCTCTTTGCACTGCAATGGGCCGGCGCTTAGCCGTTTTGAGCTCAGCTACCCTGGAAACGCCATCTCTGCTGGCGATCAGTTTCGTCATTGATGGGTCATTGCACACCCAAGACAAGGCAGTTGTGGAGTCGGACCAGCAATAGAATCTTCCAGTGGACAATTTAAGTTGCTGTATCTCACTGATAAATTGAGAAAGCAAGTCAGCGCCACATAACTCCAACTTGGGCACCGTCAATACCTTAAGAGGGGCGACCCGAGACTTCGCACACAGAAGTTGCACGTGCGCGCGATTATTTGTCCTTGACACAACGTAAATACATGCGCCATAGGCGTCTAGGCTGGCGTCACAACACCCGTGAACTTCCACTGTTGAATTGGGGAGAACTGCCAGACGAGGAAATCTAAACAGCTCAGGGGTGGACAAACTCTCGCAGAGAGTTGGAGCTGCTCCTTCCATACCAACTGAAGGAAAATCAGGAATTCCCTCAAGTACGTCAGGGACGTTGGAGCACCATTTCCGAATTTGGAACCTTCCCCGAGCCAATAACCGTGTCGAGCTTGAACGCCTTCACATCCTCGTGAGGGGAATCTCTCCATAAGATGCACGGCAGGTAATTGTCCGGCTCAGATATTCGGACACACCTGTACATCTTGCAAATGTCATCAGTCAGCGCAATGAGGAACCTACGGAACCGAAGCATCGTATGTAGCAGCTTTGGCTGGATAGTAAGTGCAGTGGCTAAGAGAATAACATCCCTGCAGGAGTTCGGTGCAACCAGAGAGGCAGCTGAGGACTGTGCCTGCGCTTCAGGGTGCGGGAATGAAGAGACAACGGGTTTCGTGGACGAGGGTCTGGCGTTTAAATGCAATAACGTGTGATGTTTGCTACCACAGTGGCGACAAGTTGATGACCTGCGCAAGTGCGCAATTGATGGCCAGCCTTTAGGCAATTCAGGCAAAGACGAAGGCGAAGCGACGGCGAAAGATTTCCAAACAGCGCGCAGGTATATATACTATGGCCAGCAGTATTGCAAAATAGACACTCAAGAGGCACAGACTCAGTGGCTACAAACTAACTTCTAGTGTTGCTCTGTACTTTTTTAATCTTTCCCACCTGAATGCCAGGCGTATACATTGCCATAGCGTGCTCCCGATTCTCCAACTTCTGACATCTTTGCTCCAGAAAAGCGGTGAATTGTTGGCTTGTGGGTATGCTATCCAGCGATAACGTTTCCTCCCACATGGCTTGAGTAGCGCTGTCCACCTTCTGCAGCAGGCTGTGTATCAAAATACAGTCTTCAATCTGCTCCGTTGTCCCCATACTCTGCAAGGGCCGAAGATTAGCATTCACAGTGTCCGACAAGGACCGAGGTTGGGACACAGACGAAGCCTCTATGCGCGGCACACCCAAAATGTCTGTGACATGCGCCTGAAAAATTAAACGCTTGTTATTAAAACGCGTATCAAGGAGGTCTAGCGCGATGAGTTAGCTGGCGTGTGTGAAATCTAGAGACGAAATAGTGTCTAGTGCTGGTCCTTTCAGGCAGCAACGAGGGGCTGCAGCTTCTCCACATTTGAAAAATCGGTATCCTGGTCTATTATGGATGAAAACATGCTCCAAACCGAGGAATACTGAGCGTAGCCCCCACTGAACTCAGGAAGCTGCAACTCCGGCAGGCGTGGCCGACTTTGCACTACGACCGTAGTTGGGGCCTCTCTTATATGGTCTGTCCGTTGAGCATGGTATCATTGTGGGCTGCCGCTTGTTTAATTCCCGCTTCATGCGAATCTCCAGCATGACCACTCGTCAAACTCATCCCTCAAGGGACTACCGATCTCATCGAGATCAATCTTCTCCAGGGCATTATGGTGCCCGTTGAATGAAGCTTCAAGATCCGCTAGCAACTTCAGCCTCACGTTCAGCTCCTCCTCACTGAGCTCGCCAATCCTCTCCTTGCCGACGGCCGTTTCGATTCTCCGTGCTGCCCCTAGCATGGATTGCACCTTGCGCTAGTAGCATGCAGCTTCCGAATCGACGAACAATGGTGAGGGGGCAAGATTAAAGGGGTGCTATTAGAAGCCATTGGGTATGTTTACGAAGCACTGGGTTAAAGTTTCTGAAGCACGGAGAGGTTAATAGCCGGTGAATAACCTCGAACAGTTTTACAGGAACTGTAGACTCGATCGCAGCGCTCAAACACACGGGCTCACAGTTCTACAGACCAGCAGCGAAAGTTCACAGTTTTAAAAGAACTGAGTAAGTGCAGCTGACAACAACAATGGCATATACACTTAGAGCACCGAAAACCGAAACGAAACAACCGCAAGCAAAACCGCAAAGCAGATGACGCGAGAACCGTTCATGTTGCTTGTGCACAAACGACGAACCGAAAAACCGTGGTACAAAGCGAATTAAGCAACCGACAAGTGTTATTTGCGAGGCATATATATATATATATATATATATATATATATATATATATATATATATAAATCAAGTCATCGGGGTCACAAAAATGTTAAGCTATTGAGCTTTTTCAATGGCATAGAGTTAAATAAAAAATTTATACTTTGATTAATTCACAACACAGTTTGTTTGATTATATTAGTTTTCTTTATTTGCCATGCAACGCGAGTGGGAAGAGTTAGCAACAGGTGGATCCGTGGTGCACCGTGTTGAAGCGAGAAAAAATGGGTTTTTTGTATAAAGAATAGTAATGATATGGTAGTCAGGTCAGTGTGCCAACCGACGATACGTTGTTTTTTGGATGATACGAGATTTGGAAATGTATCTGCTGCGCAGACGAGCCTCCCTCACAGCCTTCGTCGGCTGACGAGTTTCGGGAAGGGGCAAATGACTTTAGAGCGCAGAGTCAGGTAAGCAATGTTGTGCGTAAGAGATTAGCTCTGCTCTCTTTGCGCTGCCATTGGCCGGCGCTTAGCAATAAACGAACAATAATCAAAAGCAACAAATATACTTTCACAAATTGCAATTGTTCTCTGGATATTTTTTTTCTTAAAATGTTGATCTCTTAAATGTGGGTATTTATTATTTTAAATTAATTTAAATTTTTAGGTTTTTACCAAAATATATAATTTTGGTTAAAATAATCTTATATTATTGTTTTGTTTTTATGTTGGCGGCGAACTTCGCCTTTTGCCAGAAAATTTCCTGCGTGGGCACTCTTTTTTTTCCATGTAGGTTTTATTATTATTATTCTAGCTCTTCCTTGTCTTCTCTCGTCTGATTATGCTGTTTTTGTTGGTGCTTTTTGCGCTGTTCCTCTTCCAGTCTGTCGATGCGTGCCCAAATGGCACTAGCAGTTACCCAGGAGGGTGGGGGGTCTCTGTTTACTTGATCAACCAATGGCAAGAGCCGCTCCTCTTGAAGCCTTTTTCTGGCTAGGGCTTGGACGGCGGCGGTCTGCTGCTGGGCACTCTTTAAGCGCCTTCCTTACCGCTGCCTCATGGCTTATGCTCATCCTCGTTGAGTCCTTGTGCCATAGTAGGCAGTATCTGTTGGCGTATTAGGCAGGAACTGGTTTTTATTATTTTTGTTTTAGGTTGCCGGATTAGGCAGGATCGCCATGATATGAAAGGCTTGCGTTCTGGTTTATAAATGATTCTTTATTGAAAAGTAACTTATATTTATATGAAATAGTGAGGAGGCATTACCTCCATGCAGGTGACTCACCGCCCCGGTCTGTAATATGACGCGTCGGATTTCGGACGGCGGCGGTAGCTGTTTGATAAGGTTCTCTAGCTGGATGCAGACGCATCACTTTTGGGCCACGACAGTGACCGCCGCTGGGACCGCATCACATTGCAATCCGTCTTTAGGGTGGTTCTTAAACACACTGCATGAATACACTATAAAACGTTTCCGTCGCGATAAAGTATATACATTCTTGATCAGCATCAATAGCCATGTCTGTCTGTCCGTCCGTCCGTCTTGTTTGTCACCTAGATCTCAGAAACTATTAGAGCTAGAGCGACCAAATCTTCTTTCCAAGCTAATGTTATATTACACTGCTACAAATGTATTTCAAAATTCCGCCCCCACAAAGGACAACTGAAAAATAATTAGTAAAGCCAAAATAAAAAAATTTATTTTCTGTTCTTTCCCCCACCTCTTTCGGAGCTGCTGACACTACTCATTCTCTTTCTCGCTCGCACACACTCTGCCCTGTGCAATGCACAACCTTTGCGGAAAAGATGTAGAATCTACATTGTGTATGTATAATCTACATTTCAGAAGTGGAATCAACATTGTAGATGTAGATAAGAGATGTAGGAAAAAATTGTAATATATAAAATTTTTTAAATCTTCATAAATCATAAGCTCACATACGGGTATTAAAGTAGAGTTGGTCCACAGAAGCGACTCACACGTTCCTTCTCGTTCGATTTAGGAATTCGGGAGCGACTAACTTTCCGTTTTAAAAGGTAAATCGGAAATTTTTCCGAAGCGGAACACCCGAGCCTGCCTGTATATACATAACTTTCCCTATTTCGTTCCGATCCGGGCAAGCATCTACATATTATTTATGCCTATAATTTAGAATTAAGTTCCACATTAAAATTAAATAAATAATACTTTATAATAATATTTATACCTATATTGATACAAATATTTTATATGCATTTTCCAATTGAAAATATGTGAAAATAATTTATAGGGCTAAATTACTACACGACGCCTGGAATCTAGCTTATGCAGGCGAATTAAGTTTTGCAACGGCTTTTAATATGACTTTATTCATGAAATATGAGCGCAATCATATTGTTTGGAGTCCTGTTTTTACATTTATAGACCATTTTGGGCGGTATATCGATATGTCTGAAGTTCATACAAAATTTGAGGTACATACGCGGAAAATATAAAATTAATATACATACTAAAAATTACATAGTGCACAATTTTCACATTTTCAGCAATATACTACAACTCTGTTGACTCCTTTATACGAGGAGCTGGGGCCTGAAAGTGAAAATGAAGAACATTGGAAAACAGAGATGCGGAAATTGGCTAAGACATTTTTGTGTCGTGCAGGTTATCAGCCATGTATTGCAGCAGGACAAAAATCATTTGAAATGTGGATAAATAAATCTGATACTAATTTTGATCGGTTGGTGTAAATAACTATTTTTAGTATATAACTATAATAAACTTTATTTCAGGATTCCTAAAGAATACATTTGTCCTGTTTTTAAATGGGGTTCGATGGAAGAATGGAAATTTGGACTTAAACATGTAAGCCAGTTCCCAAAGTCCCGTCTACGAAGTGAACGAACTTTTCTATTGAAAATGCTCGTTGGCTGTCCATCGGATCATGAAAAGATTAATCATCTACTAGAGTTGGTCCTATTGGGTGCTAGTTCCAATTTTACCGAGAACGACATATTATTAATTTTAAATGCTTTAAGCGGCGGATCTGTTGGATATACATCTTTATTGAAATTTGTTTTCAAGCATTGGACTTTTATTCAAGAAAGGTAAGAACTTCAATTCTATATCATATGTAAGTATATAATTTCCTTTCAGCAAATGTATGTAAGAATAAGAATACATTTTTAGAAATTCGCAGTCTCAAAAATTAATAATGGTCGCGTTCACCAGGACAACTTGATCAGCGATCAGTGATTGATTTCTGCCAATAGTGTTGGTAAACGCAGATAATTTAGTGTTTTTGATGCAAGAATTCAGGGATCAGATTTTGAGAAATGGATCGTGAAAATGGTACAATCTATTGGTCTCGTGTATGATTGATATCTTTTGGCTTATATCGATAGTTGACATATCGATTAGAGTACGCACTTAATCATAAAGAAAAAGAAACAAACAAAGCCAAATTAATAAAATATCATGAAATCAGAATAATACTTCAGTTTTAGAAGAAATATTCGAATTTAACCTGACTGTTTTTTGTTGCGACTCGCGAATCTTCGAAGATTCGTTTAGATTCTGAGCCGATTGTATTGGCGACGAAGTGATAGTAAGGTATGGATCATACGCGTTCACCAGATCTCAAAACATGATGGATGAGATCAATCACTGATCGCTGATCAAGTTGTCCTGGTGAACGCGCGCAATAACACTACTCGACAAAATTGAACTTTTTTTCCCGCTGTGAACCAAAATGACTTTTTCTAATAGATTTCGGGTTTTACCAATTTTTTAAGTAAAATGTTTTTTTAGTTTAGTTATTTTTTAACGAATTTTTTTAATTTGGTATTTTTTTCAGAGGTAGTTCTTCTATTTTTCACATAACTTAAGTATCTTTTAGCTGGTTGCATAGAACTTTGAGTGGAGTATTTTTCACCAAAATTTTGACTTTAAAAATTTCAGGAAAAGTCGAAAAAACGGGGAAAATCGGTTGTAACTGTCGTTGTAGACATAGATAATGCATATAACTGTGTTAATCTACAAACCCTACAAATGTTAATGGATCATGAACACATTCCTACGCAATATACAGATTGGATTGTTAATTTCTTCTCATCAAGATTCTTAAAACTTGGTGACTCCATTAAAGAAGTCAATGGTGGTTTGCCTCAAGGCTCCTGCCTCTCGCCTATACTTTTCAATCTGTACACCAAAAGGCTGCATCAAATCAATGATTGCCATACGACTGTAATTCAGTTTGCTGATGATTTTGCCATCATCTCAACTGGGTACAACCACTAAGCAAACAACACATAGAGGCGTCAAATCGACTAAAAATCTTGCTCTGTCAGGAAATTTGTCTTAATTGGCAATCCCAGGCCATCTGCGGGAGCCAATAGCTTCGCCAGGGCACTCGGCTTTCTCGGTTAACCGAGAGAGACCGCCTTGCAGCTGTTCCGATATAGGAAACCGTCACCTTTTGTAACTATGCCTGTATTTGTGTCCTCTAACAAATTTAAAACCAAAATCGGGACCTATTCAGGGCCGGAGTCAGCTCTGCTACATGGCTGTAACCACCATTAAATCAGGGGCCCTCCAAATTTCCACTTGCAGCATCCCTTCAAATTTTTCATTTCAAATAAAAACTAGAAAATTGTATGTCTGTTTGATTAATTTGTATGTTTATCATTGGCTATTATATTTCTTAATTCATTCACAAACGGACTGCCTGCATGTGTGTTTTCCAACAAATTTTTTGCTGTTAGCCCGAGGGGGGGCCCTAGGCAACTGCTAATCCGGTCCTGAGACCTGCTTCCCGTCAGAGTTCTATATCCGACTCTGTTGATGTATTCTGTCACTCTGACTAACACGGGCCGAGGTGCTTACAAAGCCGCAAAAAATTGTAGGACCCCTTCAAGCACAGTATACTGAAAATAAAAAACACAAACACATCCTAAGCTGCAACCTGAAACTCACTCTAAAACAAAGACAGTCTCAAACAAGAATGTAATGACATATTTCAACCACTTGTCGGTGGGTCTAGAGTACACTCCACTATGCCTCCATCAATGGTGGTAGGTAGGTTTAGGTATCCCGTCATTAGCCTGAGTAACACACAGCTACAGGTATTAGCTAGACAATAATTCCTCTTCTGTTTTCGACACAGCTGCAAAGGCGGTCTCTATCGGCTAAAAAAAGATATAATAAACTGTAGTGCCCTGTGATAGTCTAGGGGCCTTAGGCTCTGAAAAGCCTGGGATCCAATTCGTCCAAAACAACGAAATACACGCAATTTTTAGTCAATTCCTTCACTAGCAACTTTATGTTGTCTGTTTGCCCAGTGGTACAACATAACTGAAGCTAGGAACAACTTACAGGCCAAAGGTCGCCATAACTTTCATTTGTCTGTCAGGATCTAGCTCTCAAGCTTCAATCAAGCAAATTAGCAGTTAAGGTTGCTGGAGGGGAAGGAATAACAACATCTCGGTAACATGCAAAAATTAAAGTTTTCCGATATAGGTCCATCAACTTTTTAGCGAGATTCCTAGTGCCAAACCGTGACAAATTGGCACATTGGCGCCAAAATCAGGAAAGGTCAGACAAAAGTCAGCTTCTGCTACATGCCTGTAACCACCATTAAATCAGGTCTCAAACCCAGAAATCTCTTGCAACATCTGTCAAATCTTTCATCAGATCTCAGCAGGAACACGCCATTACCAGTTCTTCAAATCTAACATTGGCAGATTAGCAAATCTCTTAATACTACAAGATTTTCGGACTGCCTTTGATAACATCAAGGGTTATCCCTCCAAAAAGATCTACGCACCTTTTTTGCTCTGGCTGGTATTTACCGCCTAAACACATTGATGAGGCCAATTTGAGAGCTGCTTAAGGTCAAAGTGCAAATCCGACACATTAGGTCAGCCTCGGTGCTATCGGAAGCTCACTTTAGGACAGCCTGTTGTACCAAGAATCTAGAGACCTTCTGTTGCAATTATTCTGTGAAAATTTTAATACAAACTAAGTCTCAAGCAAACATGTCAATTTGTTTCTTAGTCTTTGACAGGAAAAAAAAAAAACATATCAAACGAAGAATCTAACGCCTTACATTCAAGCCAACTTGAAAGTGGATTGTTAGATTGCCTGGTAAAACTCACGCCACTGAATACACTCCATCAACGGTGAATAGGATAGTGTATAATTACCTATACCCTTAGCAACAACAGCTATAAATTTAAGATTGAAAATCATTCCTCCTAACAGTTACTTTGTAGAATTAATATCACGAGAACATCATCTTAAGTACCGTGCATGCCCTCCACAACAAACAGATATCACCATAACAACTGTAGTCTCTGGTCATTGTCAAGGGGCCTTAAAGGCTCTGAAGCAATGAATCAAATTCATACCTTAACAGACGAACATACACCTCAACATAGACAATTCCTTCACTAGCAACTTTATTTTGCACTGGATACCCGGTCATAAGAACATCTGCTATGTAACTAAAAGCTCACGTTTCTAGTGCCAAATTTGCTCGACTAGCGTGGGTAGAATGCTAACCATATCTCACAACGCTATCAATGAAGTAATTAGAACAGTTACAGACAGGTCCAGATATGGAAATAAAACATAATGAGATCAAAGAAATATCAAAAAATTAAAGAATACGATATTTTAGCTTCAAGTGGTTATAGTTCGATGTGACTCCAGTCAAACCTAGCACTGGGCTGATGAAATTATTATGCCAAAAGATATTAAGGTCATTATTACCAGCACCAGGCACTGAGGAATACCCAATTTATTCAAGTCTTTGTACACAGGTCAGCCAGAAATTCCTCTGTGAAGTTTGCAGTGTTTTCGACATGTATGCGAACACGAAATTTTCTACTGCCAGAGACATGCCGTATTAGAAAAAAGTACAAGATTTTCAAGCGATGTTAGTAACATGACTTATTACTCACAAAAGAGCCCTATTTTCAGAAGAAATCGCAAAGTATATTGATGAGGCCAATTTGGAGATTCGAATCAAAGCACATGGGATCAACTCAGGTTAGGCAACTCTTCCGTAGCACTTCCGCGAGTCACCATGAGGAAGCAGCCTTCTGTTGTTCCTAAAACTTTCCTTAAAAAACGCCTCTGTTGGTATTTCTTCTCCCATAATTTTCATACAAACCGCTATCTCAAACAAACATATCATTTAATCTTTGTACCTTTAAACATGGTTGCATTAAAAGCAGTCACAATGACCACTACCTTCCGGGCCTTACAGTGTCAAACAGATATCACATTCTATTATTAATTTCCTCGTAAAAGTTATCCTCATCATCATCGAATCCACTGTCAAACTAAATGATTAGCTTGTGCATAGATTACCTGTTAAGCACCTGAATCTAATGTCCACCTTGTTAAAAGTTATTTACACCTCACATTAATTTAAGTAAACAAATTTTCACACCGAGCATCATCTTAAGCAACAGCTGTTTCCCATGGATGGTGGAACTTGGAATCATCGAAAGCAATACCGTGTGCCCTCCACAACAAATCATCGATAGCACCATACCCACTGGTATCTGGTCATTGCAGATTCATCGTCGGCGACCACTCAATTCGCTTTAGCGATTAAAAAAAAAAAAAAAATATTTTTTGACATGTGTTAGATAGACGCATTAATAAGGCGTCGTTTGAGGTATTGTTTTTAATAGCCTTTTTACACTGGGCGCGTCTGCTATCGATATCGGCATAGACGCAATGAAGCAGAAAAGGCGTTTACATTGGAAGACGTGCGTCTTGAATTTGGATTTGGGTGTTTGATGACAAGGAAAGATACACAAATTTTTGAAAAACAACAGAATTAAGCAAGACGTCAGGAAAATGGACGAAAAAGAATTGATTCTCATATTTAAATATTATTTTCAGACATTTCATTGTAGAGTTTGTGGGAGTTCTTCTTCAAATTATGAAAACCACCGAAGTTCGTCTCCAGCAGTGTCTTAATGGCATCAGGGGGTCAGAAAAATTTCATTTCAATCAGTTTCAAGTATTTTATTTAATGACTTTATGTATATTTTCACCTTTTTGCACAATCATACATTTTTAGCGCCAAAAT